GTGGATGGAAGCCTCTCTCTCTCTCTCTCTCACTTTCTCTCTCTCATTCTCTCTCTTTCCTACATCCCTGGCTCTAGTCCCTTTTCCACCATTCTAAAACTTAAAAAAATAAGAATTTGTGATCCTGTGAGTATGAAGGAAGACATTGCTAAAAGTATATAAAAGTTGAAATTCCTTACTGAATGCTATAGATTGCAGCCACTGATCATATAAATGTGTTACTAGTACAGGAGAAAAATGAGCTGATTTTTTTAAAATATATTATTTAGGTAAACATTCACAGAGAATTTTTGATGGTACAGTAGACTTAATGACCTGAATAATTATAGTTAACTCCTGAGTGGTCATGTGCAAAAAAACCAGGAGAAATGAATGGAAAACACACTAATATAGACCTTTAGTTGAGAAGATTGTTTTTAATTTCTCCTCTACTTTGCTTTCGAAGAACTGCAAATGAAGAACAGAGATGACTTAAGGAAATTTTATCCTCTTACCTTCCCTTAAAAAATGCCTGTTTATTACTACCATCTTCCCCAATTGCCTATGTCTTCATTGTCACAAATAATCTGTCATTAAAGACTAAAGGAGGCAGAAAAAGAGGAAAAAATTAGCTGGAAGAAAAAAAAAGTAGCACTGTAATGCACATATGTTTTCTTAGTGACTTATTTGGTTGTACTAATTTGTGCATATTCCATTTAAAACAGCAATTCTCAAGTCTTTTTCCTCTTCTTGCCACCCATTACTGATGGCATACACATATGCTTGAGGCTCTCACATGCATTGGGCCATTCGCAATGTACTGTAATCCCACTCTTTCCTTTTATATCCAAATAATAATAACAGATTCCAAGTAAGTATATGATCAGCCACTCTTGTTAATGTTTAAACTTCTAAAATATTAATATTTAGCAAATTATTGGCAAATTAAATTTTTACCCTGCTATATTCTTTATGTGAATTGTCTCACTTAACCCTGCAATAATTCTATGAAGTAGGGATTAATATCTTTTTGGCATAAGTAGTCAGTTATCAAACCAACACACCTTCTCCTCTTGCACAGAGGATGCATTACTTTCCTGTGTCATTTGAAACAAATTACCAAGAACTTGGTGACTTAAACAGAACTTTATGTTCTCAGTGCTTTGGAGTTCAGAATTCTGTAATTACTTCTGATGAAACAAAATCACATTTTTGTCATGGCTTTGCTATCCCTGAAGAGGAAGAATCTGTTTCTTGGCTCTTTATGCTTCTGGGGGTTTCTGGAATTTCACTATGAGGTCAGGTTATGCTATAAAGTATAATATAATATATAATATAATATAATATAATATATATATATAATATAAGTCTAAAAGCAGGTAGGTACTCTCAGGGAAGATACCAGTGCATGGTTCTATGTTGCTGAGAACAGATGCCATGCATGCCTGTTTCAAGTAGTACAGTGCATAATTAAAGCAACAAGAACAGGTGGAAACCCACAATATCCAGCAATTCTAACAAACTCATCCCTCAGCTAATTTGGGCAGTGTAGCCGTATGTGCTGAACTTGGTGCTGCAAAAGTTATACCCTGACCTTTGTTACAAAAAGCTCAGGGTACATTTAAGGGCCCTCATTGAATATAAAGCTAAGCAGTTCTAAGAAAATTTTACATGTGTCCTGTAAGAAAGAACAGGGGTGTACTGGCTGTGCTCTGAGTTATTTGCATGCAAAATGATTTGTGAACTTACCAGTGCATTCTACATGGAGCACAAGGTTCTCCTTGGAAAAGCAGAGGAGGAATGGGGACCATACTGGGGCACTTCTGTCACAGCTGTCAATCCTTGACATTGCTAAATGACTCCAGTCTCCTTCACAATATCATATTTCTACTTCTGTTTGTATGAAATATTTCTTGGCCTTTGTTCTTTTTGTTTTCACATTCATTTATTTATTTAAATTGACAAATAAAATTGTACATATCCATTATGTATAACATTTACATGTTGTTTGGGGACTTGTGGAATGGCTAAATTGAGATCATGAACATAGATATTAATTTTGGCCAGTGCCACGGCTCAATAGGCTAATCCTCCACCTTGCGGCACCTGCACATTGGGTTCTAGTCCTGGTCGGGGCGCCAGATTCTGTCCTGGTTGCCCCTCTTCCAGGCCAGCTCTCTGCTGTGGCCCGGAAGTGCAGTGGAGGATGGCCCAAGTGGTTGGGCCCTGCACCCACATGAGAGACCAGGAGAAGCACCTGGCTCCTAGCTTCAGATCAGTGCGGCGCGCCAGCTGCAGCACACCGGCTGCAGCAGCCATTGGAGGGTGAACCAACGGTAAAGGAAGACCTCTCTGTCTCTCTCTCTCTCTCACTGTCCACTCTGCCTGTCAAAAAAAAATGAACATAGATATTAATTTATATATTTATCAAAATTTTTGTAGTGAGATCACTTAAAAACATAACCCTTGGCAATTTTCAAGAAGACACAACACTGTTGTTTACTATAGTCATCATGATGTGCAATAGGTCACTTATTTAACTGAGAATTGTTTTCATTCTTCCATCAACATATTACCAACCCTGCAACTAGCCCTTGGTAACCTGCTATTCTACTCTATACTCCCAAGAGTTCAATTTTTTAGATCTCATACATGTGTAATACCATGCAATATTTGTTTTTCTGTATCTGGTTTATCATTTAACATAATATTCTCCAGGTTCACCTATCTTATCAACAGTGGCAAGGTTTTCCTTGTTTTCTTAAAGCTGAAAATAATCCAAAATATTTATAGGTTTATTTTGATTTATCTGTTCACTCAGTGATGACCATTTAGGTTGATTCCACATCTTGACTATTGTGAATAATGCTGCAGTGAACATGGGAGTAAAGATATCTCTCCAACATACTGATTTCATATCCTTGGATTGCTATCTAAAAGCGACATTGCTGGGCCGGCGCTGTAGCATAGCAGGTAAAACAATGCCAAATGCTTTTTTTTTTTTTTTCCAACAAGCTAAACATTACAAGGCCTAGAGATTAGAACCTGGTATTTTGGGTAGCCATCATTGAGCCTACCAGAGTACAGAATCATTCTTGACAATAATGTTATCAGATTTTACATTCCTCTGCCCCCTACCATATGGATATCATTATGTGATAATGGGCTGCAAGCAAAAGTAATATGTTCTGCTGCAAAATTGCTTCCCATACCAAAAGTCAGCAATGAAAATATTTGACTTCTGGTTGTCCATTAATTTCCACAACCTTTAAAAATATGGAATGATAATTGCACATGCCACAAAAAAGAAAAGCCCCACAACAACTTTTAACAAGGATAACCAAAAGGAAAATGACATAAAAATATCCAACTTCATAAAATAATTGGTTCCTCTGCTGATTCTACAATTCTGGAATCAATAATCAGCATTGAGTTTTGTAAAATTTTGTTTTTAAAGTAATACACTGACATAAATAAACAGAAATACTTTTATATTAAATGAACATTATCCCATCATCCTATGACTATAGCTGTGATCACTTTTACTTGAACTGATTCTCAGTCAATATTACTAAATTATCAGTCCTAAGAAACGTTAGTGCTAGAACATAGGAAAACTGTCATTCACAATTCCCTAATGTATTATCATTTGCTTATTGTCTTCTCTAATTCATTGCCACAGTCACTGTGAGATTGGTTTCTGATATAGTAGAAAGTACACAGACAGGACAAGTACACATGAACCAGTTAATCTGTCTTCCAAGCTTGGCTGTTTCTCAACATTTTTTATGACCTTGGGTAAATACCTTTCACTCTGTTTCCTCAGTGACTACTTGATTCTTCAAAAAATAATAAACTGTTATTAAAATAAAAGAAGAGTTGAAATTTTTGGTTTTTGAGGACATTGTTTTATTACTGTTGTTATTGCTATCTTCTAAAAGAAAAATACTTTTTTCACTAAAACATAATATTTAAGCTAGAAAGATCCTAAAAATTGTTAGTATTTACACATTAGCTTCTAAGATTTCTCTTTTTTGGCCCTAACCTATAATGTTGAGTGATAAGTCTGCATGGTTTTTGTTTTTTAAAACTTGAAGTGACTTCTTTAACTCTGATAGCTGTGAGTTTCAAATGGCAAGAATATCCATCTTTTCTGTATGTGTTCCATGATCGGCTGTTGCATGTTTATGACTCTGATTTCTTTTTGTTCAGGTGACTTTATACCATTATTATTAATATTATTTTAATTGGGCATGTATAACATTGCCGCATAGAATAGAGTAGAAAGTTGCAAAACTTGGTAACTTAAACACTGAACATATCCAAAATCTGTTCAGAGTTTTGTGCATTGTATTTTGCTATTTTTGTGATGTTATCCTGTAAAATCTCCCAAATAAAACATTGAACATCCAACAAACACACAAAAAAAATAAAAAATAAAATAAAATAAACCAACTAATACATATGCAAATATTAATAAAACCTACACTATATCATGACTGGAGCATGTTCAACAGTTCATTATCATAACTTGTGAAGGTTCCAGGATGATGGTGAAGATTAAAAAGTGGCCCAGCCAAAGTGAAACATCTACTCCTAACATCTTGTGTGTTGAGCTCTTGACTGATCTCTATTCTTGGGTTTGGTCTTGCATTTGTACTGTCAGATTTAGATACAGACATATCCTATCCTGGAACATATTCCCTTCTATCACCTCAGTGCTCTGCCTTACAGTCTTCGAGTAACTCCTCATGGGCGATTTCTAAGTTAACACTTACCTGTGACTTTACATTTCCATTTTGGTGATCACCGTTTTAAAGGGCACTACCTCTCTACTTATTCCAAGGAGAATCACCTTCCTTTGGGAGTTTCTGATGCCAGGAAGCCTACAGTTTTTTTTTTTTTTTTTGAAGTTCTTACTCTTTGAATATCTTGGCTGATGATGTGAGGTGAACAATGGGGGAAAGGGCAAGTCTAGTTCAATTACCTATATTGCCTTGAAGAAGGTAGAGGAGCTAACTTACATCTACATAACCTGGATACTGGAGATCATTGTCCCACTACTGTTCTCAAAACCAGACCTCATTGTGAACAAACATTTTTTAGATCCAATTTTCATCAAGACTAAGTCACTGAGCTGATGGACTATTGCATTTTGGAGATAAATTATGCTTTTAATTTTGCAAATGCATCTGAACTGCAAAGGCATACACATCTAGATGTAAAACTAAGAGCAATTCCATAGATTAGGAGGCTGCATGATTTGCATTCTGCTGAGCAGGACCAATGGGCAAGGAGTGGTCAGAGTCCCTAATTTATTGGTATTTAATATTATGTGTCTCAGTGACTATGTTGTTGCATTTTATTGAACAGAGACACAATAGAAGCATGTTTATTTGCCATTAATTAAAAAATATATTCTAATCAATAAAATAAAAAATAAATCTCATGAGCTTTTTCTATTCTGCAAATGCATGCTTGGGTTGGAAAACACTTTTGAGAATATTCAAGCAGCAGCACATTTCTTTAAAACTTATTTTATTTTCTTGAAGATCCACAAATAGAGGGGACAAAGTATTGACTTTAAAATCATTCTTTTATTTTTTGGTTGCTATTAAAAATGATCTAACAGGGGCCGGCACTGTGGCTCAGTAGGTTAATCCTCTGCCTGCAGCACTGGCATCCCATATGGGCATTGGTTCTATTTCCAGCTGCTCCTCTTCCAATCCAGCTCTCTGCTATAGCCTGAGAAAGCAGTGGAGGATGGGCCAAGTGCTTGGGTCCCTGCACCTTCATGGGAGACCTGGAAGAAGTTCCTGGCTCCCGGCTTCGGATCAGGCCAGCTCTGGCTGTTGCAGTCATTTGAGGAGTGAACCAGTGGATGGAAGACCTTTCTCTCTCTCTCACCCTCTCACTGTCTATAATCCGTCAAATAAATAAAATCTTTTAAAAAATCTAACACACTTAAAACATTAAAAAACACTCTTGATAGTAATGGGAAATAGAAGTGTATTCTCTTTATCTGAGTGCCTTTAATTTTGTCCTTTTGAATGAAAATTTGGGTGAAAAATCAAAATAATAGCCATGCTCAACTATACAATTCACATGTTCACATATGTATAACTTGTCATGCTTGTGAAGATACATATCTATACACACATACATACATGATATCCATGGATATAGGTATAGTACATCTACATCATACTCATATTTAATGCAGATCTCTGGGAATAGATATAGAAACCCTCATGCCTCCTTTAATCCACCCTGAGAAGTTTATAATTAGGCAATTTACTTGTTGTGAGAATATAATAGAGGGTTCTTAACAGAAACCTAGATAGTACAGCCTACTGCACTTCTAAGTTATATGTATATCCAATTGCTCCTAGAATACAAATCTATATAATATGCTACTGTTCTGAACACTACAGTAGGCAATTGAAAGACAATAGTATTTAACCGTCTATATTAACAAAGAAAAGGTACAGTAACAATAATAGAAGGTATAAATTTTTCAGCACAATTATAATCTTGTGACGCTACCTACATATATGTGGTCAATTGTTGGTTGAAATGTCATTATACGGCACATGGCTGAGCATATACATGTTTATAAGCATTATTCTCAACTGTAATGCTCAAAATTAACACAGAAAACCCATTGGTGGAAATCTATGCCAAACCCACTCATTTGTACTACAGTGTTAATTGTGAAGTCCTCTGTCCCCACTTGTGCAATCTGTATTTCTACTTCTAAAATTCGTATATGTCATTTGAATCCAAATCAAGTGTGCATGTTACTGTTCTTGGGATCTTATTTTTCATGAACACTAGTCACCAGTTCTAGAATAAATATTTCCAGATACTGCATGAAAATCTGTTAAACAAAATTTCATAAATGATGTATCATTTTCCAATTATAAAATTCCATCTTCGGACAGTAGAGAGCTAATGTCTGTCTATAAGCTGTTAATTGAATTTAAAAAATGATGATAAAACTTTCTAGTGTGTGTTAAAACTTTCTTGGTGTTGGTGAACAAACCTGGACCTTTCATTGCTGGTCTGTCCTTATATTTTGCCTGGTTTCTGAGGCACATCAAGATTTTTGAAGATCCACAAAAACATATTTTATGGCATCTTGAGGCAGAACAGTTTTAGGGGAAGAAATTGAAAAGTTTGTTCCCATAACAAGAACTGACTTTGTACATTTTTGACATCCATCCATTTCATTTACTCAATGAATAATTAGCAGATTGTCTCTTCTTGGCTAAACTACATCACAGTGAAGCCATGGAGGTACAGGATCAAGAGCAACATTCAAAGTTTCTGTCCTTATGTTGTACACAGTCCTGGAAAGAAAGAGAGGTGGAAGAAATAATCATAGAAATAAATGAAATAGTGCAACAGAAAAAAAAAAACAGTTTAGAAATTACCTTACTTGCCGGCGCCACGGCTCACTAGGCTAATCCTCCGCCTTGCGGCGCTGGCACACCAGGTTCTAGTCCCGGTCGGGGCGCCGGATTCTGTCCCGGTTGCCCCTCTTCCAGGCCAGCTCTCTGCTATGGCCAGGGAGTGCAGTGGAGGATGGCCCAAGTGCTTGGGCCCTGCACCTTATGGGAGACCAGGATAAGTACCTGGCTCCTGCCATTGGATCAGCGTGGTGTGCCGGCCGCAGCGCTCCGGCTGCAGTGGCCATTGGAGGGTGAACCAATGGTAAAGGAAGACCTTTCTCTCTGTCTCTCTCTCTCTCTCACTGTCCACTCTGCCTGTCAAAAAAAAAAAAAAAAAAAAGAAATTACCTTCCTCTATGACTGGTTGGCATAACTGATTAATTCTACCACACTTTAAAAGAACTATTAGCAATTCTTAAACTATTCAAAAAAAAAAAACAATCAAAAGGGAGGAGATTCTCCAAAAACTACTTATATGAGGCCAGTACTACCTTAATTCCTAAAACAGAAAAAGATACAACAGAGAAAGAGAACTGTAGACCAATATTCCTGATGAACATAGATGCAAAAATCCTTAACAAAATACTAACTAATGGAATTAAACAATACATTAGAAAGATCATTCACCCAGACCAAGTGGGATTTAGTCTTGGTGTGCAGGGATGTTTCAACATTAATAAATCAATAAATATGACACATCACATTAACAAACGGAAGAACAAAACCATATGAGTATCTTAATAGATGCAGAAAAAGCATTTGATAAAATACTACATCTTTCCAAGATGATAGCCTTAAGCAAATTGAGAATAGAAGGAACATTCCACAACACAATAAAGGAAATTTATCACAAACCCACAATCAGTGTCTTATTTAATGGGAAAAATTTGGAATCATTTCTTACTAAGATCTGGAACCAGACAAGGATGCTTGCTTACCATTACTATTCATTATGGTCCAGAAAGTTTTAGCCAGCACTACTAGGCAAGAAAAAGAAATCAAAGGGATATAAATTAGAAAGGAAAATGTCAAATTGTTCATCAAATTATCCCTATTTTCAGAGTATATGAACTCATAAATGAGTTTGGTTTAGTGGCAGGATATGAAATTAACAACAACAAAAAAAACCAATAGCCTTTGTATACACAGATAACGCCATGGCTAAGAAAATATATCTAAGATCAATAACAATAGCTACAGAAAATATTAAATCCCTTGGAAAGAATTTAACCAAGGAGGTGGAAGATCTCTAAACCAAGGCGGTGAAAGATCTCTACCATGAAAATTACAAAACTGTGGGGAGCAGCCCGGACTGGACTGAGTTACTGGAATTAAGACTTATTCTATGCATCTGCTCTCCCACAATATGGCGCTGGGAGAGAAGTAAACAGCTTCCACACAGCTGCCTCCAGTTCAGCTAATAAACTGTAGGACTTGCTCCTGATTGGAGGAGAGCAGCGTACTCAGCGTGTGGGCAGCCGAGTTGGGATTGGCGGAGGAGGACTATAAAGGAGGAGAGAGACGGCATGCACGAGGAACATCTAAGGGGAACATCTAGCTGAAGGAACACCCGTGCAGCCCCCGAGAAAGCCGGCCGGCGGTGTGCCGCTCCCCTGCGGAAGTGGGGAATGTGGCCAGGGGGAACTGCCCTTCCACGGAGGTGGAAGGGATAGTAGCCAACCCGGGAAGAACCAGCAGCAAACCCGGGGAGGGCCGAGCAGACGAAAGAACAGCGCAGGGTCCTGTGTCGTTCCTCCACGAAGACGGGGAGCGACACAAAACATTAAATAAATAAATAGAAGAAGACACAAAGATGCAAAAATATTCCATGTTTATGATTGGAAGAATGAATATCATCAAAAATCCATGCTACTGAAAGCAATTCACAGATTCAATGTGATCCCAATTGTGGGGAGCAACTCGGACCTAGACTAAGTTACTCGGATTAAGACTTATTCTATGCATCTGCTCTCCCACAATATGGCGCTGAGAAGGGAGAAACAGCTTCTACACAGCTGCCTCCAGTTCAACCAATAAACTGTAGGACCTGCTCCTGATTGGAGGAGAGCAGCGTACTCGGCGTGTGGGTAGCAGAGTTGGGATTGGTGGAAGAGGACTATAAAGGAGGAGAGAGACAACATGCACCAGGAACATCTAAGAGGAACATCTATCTGAAGGAACACCTGTGCAGCCCCCGAGAGAGCCGGCTGGCGGTGTGCCGCTCCCCCGCGGAAGTGGGGAAAAGTGGCAGGGGGAACCGCCCTTCCACGGAGGTGGAAAGGTCGGTAGCCAACCCGGGAAGAACCAGCAGCAAACCCGGGGAGGGCCGAGCAGAAGAAAGAACAGCGCAGGGTTCTGTGTCGTTCCTCCACGAAGAGGGGGAGCGACACCCAATCAAAATACCAATAACATTGTTCTCAGATAGAGAAAACATGATGCTAAAATTGATACGGAAACACAAGAGACTTCAAATAGCTAAAGAAATTTTAAACCATAAAAAAAAGCCAGAAGCATCTTAATACCAGATTTCAAGACATTGAACTGTGCAGTTATAATCAAATAGCCTGGGACTGGTGAAAAACAGGTAAGTAGACCAATGAAACATAATGGAAACTCCAGAAATCAATTCACACATGTATAATCAACTTGTCTTTGACAAAGGAGCTAAAATCAATCCCCTGAGCAAGGATATCTCTTCAACAAATGGCGCTCAGGAACATGGATCTCTGCATGCAGAAATATTTAACAAGACCCTCACCTAACACTTTACACAAAAATCCACTCATAATGGAACAGACACCTAAATCTATGACCTGATGCCATCAAATTACTGGAGAACATTTGGGAAACCCTACAAGACATTGGCATAGGTAAAAACTTCTTGGAAAATTCCCCAGAAACATAGGCAATCAAGGCCAAAATTGACAAATGAGATTACATCAAGCTGAGAAGCTTCTGTACTGCAAACAATACATTCAGCAAAGTAAAGAGGCAATCAACAGAATGAGAGAAGCTATCTGTAAAGTAGGCAACTAATAAAGAATTAATATAAAGAATTTATAAAGAGCTCAAGAGACTCAATAACAATAAAATAATCAAGTTAAGAAATGGGCAGTGGACTTGAATAGTCATTTTGCAAGAGAGGAAATTCAAATGGCCAACAGACACATGAGGAAATGCTCAGGATCACTAGCCATCAGGTAAATACAAATGAAAACTACAAAGAAGTGTCACCTCATTCTAGTTAAAATGGCTCTCAAATAGAAGTCAACAAACAAAAAGTGCTGGCTGGAAAATATAACCTAATCCACTGTGGGTGGGAATGTAAACTGGTACAGCCATTGTGGAAGACAGTATAGGGATATCTCAAAAAGGTGAAAAAAAGATATACAATATGACCCAGCAATTGCATTCCTGGGAACTGACACAAACAAATTGAAATCAGCATATGAAAGAGTTATCTGTACCCTGATGTTTATTGTAGTTCAGTTCACAATAGCTAAGATGTGGAATCAATGCAGATGTCCATCAACTGATGACTGGATAAAGAAATTATGTGATATATATACTATGGAATATTAATCAGCCATAAAAAGCAATGAAATCCTGTCTTTTGCAACAAAATGGATAAAATGGAAACCATTATACTTAGCGAAATAAGCCAGTCCCAAAATTTCAAACATCGTAAGTTTTCCCTGATCTGTGGTAATATATTTCCAAAAATGTGATGAATAAGAATGGAATTGACATTTTAAGATTCAGTCATTATTTACAGCTCTTGTCTCTATTGTTGAGTAACAATGTTCTCTTCTTCTTACTCTTCATTGAACACTTTACTTACTGTAGGATTAATCTTATGAGTATAAAATAAACTAAAAGTACATCACTGTAAAAATTGAGATGGAATAGGAAAAGAAAGAGGAAGAAATATCACAATGTTCCTAAATCTGTATACATGAAGCATGTGAATGTGTATACCTTAATATAAAAAAAACTATATTTAAAAATATTATCAATTTAATTTTTAAAATTACCTTTCTTGGAAAAATGACATTTAAATAAAATCTGAAGAATGGGTAAGGTATGAGGTAACCTGAACATAGTGAACAAAGAGATTTGCTCATGAAGATTAATTCTTTTTTTTTTTTTTTTGACAGGCAGAGTGGACAGTGAGAGAGAGAGACAGAGAGAAAGGTCTTCCTTTGCCCTTGGTTCACCCTCCAATGCCCGCTGCAGCCGGTGCACTGCGGCTGGCACACCGCGCTGATCCGATGGCAGGAGCCAGGTACTTATCCTGGTCTCCCATGGGGTGCAGGGCCCAAGCACTTGGGCCATCCTCCACTGCACTCCCTGGCCACAGCAGAGAGCTGGCCTGGAAGAGGGGCAACCGGGACAGAATCCGGCACCCCGACCAGGACTAGAACCAGATGTGCTGGCGCTGCTAGGCGGAGGATTAGCCTAGTGAGCCATGGCGCCAGCCTCATAAAGATTAATTCTATTGGGCATTCTATTAAGTATATTGCATTTCATGTGATATGTCCTGCACCAGAATGTCAGCTCCATTGGCCAGGAATTTTATTCTTTTCCTGTTTACTTCCTGCAGCCCGGCCTGGTGTATATTGGGTGCTCAATAGCATTTCTTTTAAAGCATGAATTCTTGCCCAATACTAAAGTAACCCTAAAAATTTGGAACTATCATGATTCTTAGCTTATTATCAATGAAAATGTTCAAGCTTGAAATGGATAAGTGTCTTTCTCAAAGTCAAGGAGTTTCAATAATGGATTCATTTGACTCATTTTATTTTTCTGTTTTTGAACTGACAGCATTATGCTCTTAGATGATGCATAGAAAAATGCATACATTCCCAGGAGTAGATGAATGCCAAAGTAAGATGTGTTACATTGATATAATACACTAATTTATATCATATGGTAGTAAAATATAATTGCAAAGCTTAGAATATAATTCCACATAAAAACTGCATATTTGGACACATTATATGAAACTTTACAATCTAACAATACATGTTTGTGTTTGTTTATTACCTGTGTGTTCCCAGATAACTGTAAGGAGATACATAATCATTCTGGCATGAACTCTATCTTCAGATTCCTTATAATCTGTTTATAATCACACTATAGGTCATGGAACTTTCTTGAGAATTCTTTCCTTAAGAATTTTGGGCAGGTTAATAAATTTCTCTGAGACTTGACTTTTTCTTTCAGTGAAAATATGAAATAATAACTATTCCCATAGAGTTCTATGAGCACTTAGGATAATATTTATGAACTGCATGCTTAAGGATGAATGCTCTACTAATGACCTCAATGCTAGTGATGACAGTGAGGATGACGATGATTTGAGGATGATGAAGGTGCCTGCACCCGGAATGAATTAAGGCAGGCAATGTACAAATGCATAACAGTAATGATATAAAGCAGACCTTAAAAGGAATTCATATTTTTAACAATAGAATTTCAAAAATGGGAGGTATATGTTTATACAAAATATTCAGTGAGATGTTAAAGATATTTGAGAAAATGAGAGCATAAAATATTCAATTTATGCCCTGATTGTAAACACATGAAAACATACAAATATGTAAATGGATATCTAAAGTGATTTGAGGTCATTTATACCTTTATCTGTGGAGTTACTTCAGTATGTTGTAAGATATACATGTTCTCACACTAACACACTCACCCTAGTGGAGTTTTCTTGCTTGTTTCCCATGGTAAAGGGGACTGCTACTAACATGAACCTTGATCTTAAGAGCACCAAGCTCATTAACTCTGAAGACTCCTCTGGGAACTATAACAAGTGAGAACATGGCTTTGGTCCAGTTTCTAATGGACACCTGTCCCAGTGACAAATAACTACTTTCACGGTGGGCATATTTGGAACTCTTGGGTATTAGATCACAAGCAAGGCAAAGAAAGTCATTCAAGTTCCCATCATCATTTGAAAGGCTGAGATAATCTCTATGAGTCACAGGATCCCAATTCTAATAAAACAGCCTTGTAAAGTGTGTATGCGTTGAAGATGGATGGGAATTCACATGGGGAGGTTCAGAACTTAGAAGGTTGCAGGAAAAAAAAGTGCACATATGAAGAAAATGTGTTGACTGTAAGTGTCCAAAAGTTACTTGCGTTTCCTGCTATCAAAATATGAAGTCTCTTCCCCTTCCCTTTGAGTCTCGGTTGACCATGTGACTTGCTTTGGCCAATAGAAAGTGATAAACATGCAATAGTGCAGGTTCTGAAACCAAGGCCTCAGAACACCTTTAATTACATTTCCCTGAGATCATCATGCAAGAAATCAAAAATGGGATTCTAGAAGAGGAGAGGTAACCAGAAAGAGAAACAAGACCCACAGTTGAGCATTTTCACTAATTTACAGACATATATAGGCAACTTGGACCTTGCAGCAGAAGTGAATGTAACTACATGAGTGACTCTAGGAATACCAGTCCAGCCAGCCTTCTGACCTGACAGAAATAGTACATCATTATTGTTTAAATTACTAGGTGAAGGGTGGTTTGTTACACAGCAATAAGAAACTGATACATTTGGTCATAGAGATTAGTTGAACCCCATAATTGTCTTTCTGTTATCTCCCTGAAAACAAATAAAGGTAATGCTATTAGGTTTGGCTACATCTTTCAACATGATATCAAGAATAGGAAATGACCAATTGTTTTAGGCCCCACTATCAAAAGAGATTAAATCATTTAACAATGAAATGGGGATATGGTTAACATGTACATTTCCTCTATGTTGTAAAATCCAGTCCAACTTGTTTGCTGTCTGCTTCCCTACCCCATGTCTCTACTCCTTTTCACTCCCACACGGATCTGGGAACTAAAAGATTTTCCCTTTGGTTCTGCAGAGAAATTTACTGTTCTCTGTTCAAATTCCTTAATTTATTAACCCATCCATTCACTCTCTGATTTGTCAGATATTTATTGATTGTCAATTATTTGTATTCAAGGAAACATGCTGCAGATAGAATAGTAGGAAAAAAAAGAAAGCCTACCATTGTCTCACATTCCAAATCCATCCATGTATCAAACAAGGATAAAATAAAATAAAAGAAATTTCTATTTTTAAATACAAACTACTTGGAAGAAAATTAGGGTATAGAACCATTTTTTTACATGTGTTTGTATCTATATGCATGCACACATGAGTTTAATTGTATAATGCAGTGAATGTGAAAGACATGCCTTTCAGTATAAGTTTATACATTTATACATATTTTGTATGTACTCATTAACATGCATAGGTGTGAATTTATATACTTCAATTGCAGTGTTTCAGCAGGTATAGCATATATATTTAGCCTGTGTGTGTGTGTGCATGTTTGTGCATGTGCATGTGTGTGTATGCATGTATGCTTACAAGCAGATAAAAGCACATGCAAGAACAAGGCACCAAATAAGTACACATTCATGTTTTGTTTATGTATGCATACATATAGCTGAACATGTGTATGATGAAGAGGAAAACACATATGATTTAAAAAAAAGAAAAAATTGTTAATATTTTACCTGTTTCTGATAAGTAGGAATTCCTTACTTGGACATCTTCTGAAGGTATCAAAAATAGGAATAGAAAAACTATTCCTAAGCTTCCCGTATCCTCCAAGTTTTGATACTCTGTCAATTCATTTATAATAAGCTCCATTTCTAGGAACTAATTTATCAAAAATAAGACAGAATCCACCGTTTGAAAAAAAAAGTCAGACCCATTAGAATTATTATGAAATATTCAGTAAGAAATATTTGAAGAAGAAATATTAGTATTTGACAAGACTCAGCATAGACATTTAATGGTGTCTTTATAAGGAGAATAAGATAACCAATCAAGAGCTTTGGTTACACAATTTGACCTCTGAAAGGTGCCACATCAGTTCCACTAATTAAGGATCAGGGAATTTTATGGGATTCATTGATGACATGGATTGCTGACAAAATACCCTTTCTAGGCTATTTAAATGAGCAAGATTTCAGTTAGTAGTCATCATCAGTTTGGAATGAATTACTTGCTTCTGTTCCATACTACACCCCTAGGAAGGCTTAATGGGTAATGTGTTGTGTTTTTCTAGATTTAGCAATCACACAAGATAATGATGCAGCGAAGTTCCCATTGTCTTACCTTGGAGACTCCTGAGTGCTCAATATATTCAACAGTTACGTTTGGGAGGTCCCAGCCTCATCAAGAAATTCCAACCTCAAACAAACCAGCAGAACTATTATGTAATTTGTTGTTTTATCCTCAAAGCAAACTTTTAAAGCATCTGAAACATCCTCAGAAATCTCTTTACTAATCAACCATGCTACAAATAATGCATAATGCCCTATTTCAAATAGAACTGTAACAACAAAGTATTTTCTATTTGCCAATAATGCAGATACATTATTTCATTTCCTCTTAACTGTATCTGTGCTAGGCCATCATTATTATCTCTGGTTCAAAGATGATGAAATGAATGTTCTTAGAGAATTAAGGAATTTACAATGGCATATGGACTGAACCTGGGAAAATCTGGATTAAAAACCAGTTCTGCCTTTTATACATTTATTCATCAACCACATATTTGTTGAGCACAGTTCACCATATATTGGACTCATTTTAGCAACTTGGAATACAGCATTGAACAAAAGAGACAAAAATACCTTTCATGAGACCTGATGATCAGATTTTACAATGTGAATATTATTGCTGACTTCCATAAGAACCGGGTTAATGGTCATGAGTGATTGGAATGCTTCCAGCGAGAAAAGGAGCAAAGGATTAGAGGCAAGGAGTTAGCACATTTGCAGTAAAGAATCAGAGAAAAGGCCAGAAGCTGAAAGGACTTAAGAAGTCCAGACACAATTTTTTTCCCTCTTTCTTTTTTTTTTTCTTTTTTTTCATTCTTCAAAACTCTAAACAAAAGAGGAGTTCACGAACAGGTCAAGGAACTGATTTAGACAGGAACATAGACTATAAAAGAAACATTAGGGAATAATGCTAAGGTTCCACATTGGGGAATAATGCTAAGGTTCCAAACATCTAGTTATATGAGATTAACACTAGAATATGAACACATTTGTCTAAAATGAGTTGACAGGGATCTGTGATCTGATTGCTGCCATTGTTTTTGATAAAACAGAATACAGAATAAATAGTCAAGACGAACAGAGGTATGGGGTGCTTTATGGTTTGAGAACAGAAGTAATAGAAAATGTCATCCACCAGAAAGGAAGGATGAACAAGGGTGAGTAGTGTGATGTCCAAGAAGCACCACGAATGAACTTAACTCTTTAACTATTGTGAAAGTTTATTTTTTTGTTTGAAAATAAGAGTGAGGGGACAGTGTTGTGGTATAACAGGTATAGTCTTCACCTGTGATGAATGGCATCCATATGGGTGCCAGTTTGTGTCTCACTTTCTCCACTTGCAATCCTACTCTTTGCTAATGGCCTGAGAAAAGCAGAGGAAGATTACCCAAGTGATTGGGACCTTGCTACTTATGTGAGAGACCTGGATGAAGTTTCCGGTGCCTGGCTTTGGCATGGCCTTCTCTGGCTGTTTCAGCCATCTGGAGAAAGAACTTACAGATGGAACATATTTCTCTCTCTCTCTCTCTCTCTCTCTCTCTCCATCTCTCCCTCTCCCCCCCCCAACTCTGACTTTGAAATAAATAAATATATTTTTAAAAAAGAAAAGAAAAATGATATATACAAGGAGAGAGAGAGAGAGCACTCCGATTCACTGATTTGCCCTACAAATGCCCAATATAATCAGGGCAGGGCCAGGCTGAAGCCAGGAACAAGAATTCCATCCAGGTCACCAAGATGAGTGGCAGGGAACAAAGTACTTGAACCATCTTCTACTGCTTCCCAGAATGCACATCCACAAGAAACTCGATCAGAAGCAGAAATGGGAATCAATCCGAGGCACTCTGGAGTGGGATAATGGTGGTCCTGCTGGCAGCTTAACCCACTGAGCCACAATGCCCACCCATATTTCCTTTTAAAATATAATTTTCCTCTTCCATTTTTCAATTGCCCTAGTTCTTAATCAGTTTTGTACAAAAAAGAAACATAATTTTGTGACTACTACCTTTGTCCAATATTGCAGTTACTAAGTGCAATGGCAAATTAGCCATTTAATATGAGGGCTGTGGGCTTGTGAGTGATAAACTTCAGTTTCCTCATTCATAAATTGGAGTTAATTTTATTCATGGTACACTTTTTAAAAAATATTTATTTATTTGAGGGATGGAGTTACAAGCAGAGTGAGAGGTCTTCCATCTGTGGGTTCACTCCTCAACTCACCACAATGTCTGGAGCTGGGCTAATCCAAAGCCAGGAACCAGGAGCTGCTTCTGTCTCCCACGGAGGTATAGGGGGCCACACACCTGGGCAATCTACTGCTTTCCCAGGCCATTGGCAGGGAGCTGGATCAGAAGTAGAGCAGCTGGGACTCGGACAAGCACCCATATGGGATGCTGGTTCCACAGGTGGAGGCCTAAATTACTATTCCATAGCGGCAGCCTCCAGGGCACTGTTTAAAAATTCAAAAGAATATGCTAACATACACTGTTCTCTCTAAAGTGTCATACTAATATGAGTGTTTATTATGTTTTTATCTGAAATCTATTTAATAACACATCTATAATATTTTATTTGCATAATACATATTTGCATAGATTAACTTTTTTGAATATTGAGTTTACTACAATATTGTGTGTGATCATAACCCAATGCAATGTAATCCTTCCTCTTAGAGGAAGATATGAAGGAATGAGTTGCTTGAATGATTGGTCCAAAGTCTGCTCTGGCTTCTATAGATACTCGGGGCAACTGATTCATATTTTAGAGATCTTTGTCACAGAACAATAACAGAGACATTAAAAGAAGAGGAAAGTAAATTGACATTCAGAACCTTACCTTATCCCCCCGTGTTTCTGTGATTATTCAATCTAGTGACTTTTGTCGGTTCTGGAGTCCAGGGATCTGTGCTTGCAAACTCAGCCACAAGAACTGAGGATACAGATTTTTAGGGCTGTCTGAGGTTCCACACAGAGTAACATCAAGAAAGAAAGAATTCCACAAAGGGGAATCAACTTCTGGTAATATGGATGTTTTTCTGAACCTCCTAGGTAATTGCAGACAAGCACAGGAAGACAGTGAGACTTGCTTTAGAAAAAAAGAGAGCTGTGATAATAGGCACTTCTTCAAGCCTTGAATCTCATGTTTAAGTATGCAAAACGCATTTTAATTATCATCACTATTATACCATTCATCATTGTGCTGTATTGTAATAAGAGGTAATAGGATGCATTGTCCCTTTCTTGCATTAAACATGTCAAGTACCATAAATAGGACAATTGACATAATTGCTGTAAATCCCAGGGTGTGTATGTATGTGGGTGGTAGTGGGGAAAATTATTATCCAACCCTCACTTACAATATTCCAGGATGAATTTACATAATTGGGTCTAAAAATGGTATGTCACCATTAAATACACTCACCTTTCTTGCCTCTAGCTCAGCACCACCTTTATGCCCTTTTTCTGAAGAGGAAGGGTTGCGACAGTTTTCACTGTGTTCTTTTAAATGCTCTCTTTTGTTCTGTGAGCTGGATGGAAAAATAGGGCTGATGCCACTGGAAGCTTGGTCCTGAATTTGTTGAAAAAATTCAATTATCCTTTAAGTAGGAAGGGGGACAGGAAATACCACATTTTATGACACATATGCAAACCAGAATTAAACATTTTTGAAAATATTTACATTCCAGAATGTGTCCTGACAAATTAGAAGAAAGCCTGGACCAGCCAGTTGACAGGGAGTTTGACCACAGTTTATTGCAGAAAATTTTGTGGCAAAAATTATACATTCTTTTCTTTAATAAAATCACCCCAAAATAACCATAGTGGAAGATGTATATAATAGAAATACTACCCACCTGTCCCTCAAAAAAAGTCAAGAATGAAAAAATGTCAGAACTTTTCAGAATAGAGAATAACTGAAGCCATTGAAAACTGAGAGCTCTGTCTGTGTCCCAGGGTCAACCCCCTATCCCATAAAAGAAATCCAAACAGACCATTCTGTCCCAGGGTCAACCTCCATCCCATAAAAGAAATCCAAACAGACCATTCTGTCCCAGGGTCAAACCCCATCCCATAAAGGTAAACCAAACAGACCATTCTGATCTGAAAATGCAGACAAGAGTCACAATTTGCATTTTTTCTTGCACTGGAGGATTATACTCTTTATTTACTTTTTAAATATTACTACCAGAACTGTATTTCCATGAAAATTATGTTACTATCCCATTAGTCTGAGCTGTATCCTAAATTTTGATTTCTATAAACGAGATTTCCTTAAAATGTCCCATATGTAACAGAAGCTTCATTCAGACTTCTTGTGCTTGTTTCAATTCAGTTTTCATAAAAGATTTATAATGATTTTTCTAAAAGCTTAAATGAAACCTCTTTCTTTTACTGAACTGTAGGGTCTTCTCATTGCCATTAGGGTAAAGTTCAGACTTGGATGTGTGTTATTTGATCTTGCTCCTGTTTGATGCTGGCCTCATTCCTCACCTGTCTTCCCATACCCACCCCTACCCCCTAATTTGCACTCCTTATCCCCCTATCTTTCCATTTAATGATCATGGGATTCTTCTAAGACTCTTTCACTTTTTTTTTTTTTTTCCGAGTTAACTCTATTCTCCGCCATTAGACTTACATTGAGGTTTTACTTCTGTCCAGGATGCCCTATCCAGATAAATAAATGACTACATCTCCTGGATAACACCTTACTCTTTGGTTGTATTATTAAAGATCACTTCCCCTGATAAGTTAACATTTTCCCCCAAATAGCCCTTCAACAAGTTATCTTGACTCTACTTTTACAATATATATCCTGAATTCACTCAGTTTTTTCCATCCCTACCTTGACCATTCTCATCTAAACAAAAATTTACTCTTACAATGGCCATAGTTTTATCTCTCAGTTGGTCTCCCTGTTCCATCTCTGGGTACATGCATTCTATTCTCCATGATGGAAATGCTTATTTGATATGAGGCAGCTTCTAATACTCCCCCTGTTTAAAATATTTTAGTGGCTTCCCACTGAATACTGAGTAAAGCCCAAGTTTCTTAGGAAATGTTAATAGCTTTGCTTAAGCTGGACTCTGTCCATCTCTGGACACTGGACCCGTGGTATCCTTAATCAGTGTTGGGGATGGATGGCTACTTCTCATCACTGAGGAATAAAGTCACTTGTCATCCTCTCCTCAGGACATCTGCAGCTAGATTATTCTTCCCCTATCTACCTGCTCACTTTTCTCTATTCCTGCTTCTTTTCACTACTTGAAAGCATGTTTAATCCCCAGAATATAAGCTTCATAAGGGAAGGGAATGACTCCGACTTATAGACCACTGTGCCCATGTAGTTAAGTCCAGGGCTAGCCGGCGCCGCGGCTCACTAGGCTAATCCTCCGCCTTGTGGCGTCGGCACACCGGGTTCTAGTCCCTGTCGGGGCGCCGGATTCTGTCCTGATTTGCCCCTCTTCCAGGCCAGCTCTCTGCTGTGGCCAGGGAGTGCAGTGGAGGACGGCCCAAGTACTTGGGCCCTGCACCCCATGGGAGACCAGGATAAGTACCTTGCTTCTGCCATCAGATCAGCGCGCTGCGCCCTCCGCAGCGCGCTGGCCGCGCCAGCCATTGGAGGGTGAACCAACGGCAAAGGAAGACCTTTCTCTCTGTCTCTCTCTCTCACTGTCCACTCTGCCTGTCAAAAACTAAAAAAAAAAAAAAAAAAAAAAAAAAAAAATCCAGGGCTTGATCTCCCAAAAATATGCAGTAAATATTCCTAATGAATGAATAGTGTATGTGTTTCATATAATGATAATTACTGTTTTCTACAAAGGTATACTCTCTGGGAGGAGGTTAGAACCTGAGTAGACTTCACCCTGTCTTGACATATTACCTAGTACTCTGAATTTTTGCTCGTTACTGGCTGAGTAAATCAGTTGCTTGTAGTTTGATACTTATCCTTCTTTTATTCTCCAACTTTAAATGACACAACAGGGATTTCATAAATTTTTTGGGTGACCAAATACAGAATAAACATAGATAGCTTTAAGTCTCTGTAATGGTTAAAAAAGAGAAGGTCCTATTGGAATTTATATTTGGAGGTTATAATTCTTATACTCCAATCCAGAAAAATTTTTCAGGAAATCTTATTATAAGATTGTCAAAATTTAATTAACTTAAACCTCTCCAACTTATTTTACCCAGAAATCCTTTTTCCTGTAGATTTTTAGTTCTGAGAAAGATGCTTTGGAAAAGCTATTGAGGAGAAAATAACAAGGGAATTGGAAAATTTGTTGATTCAAATTTTGCCTCTGACAGTTACTGTTTGTAAGACTTTAAACAAGTTATTTAACCTTGCTCCTTACTCTTCTCATCTTTGAAATAGGCGTAATGATGCCTTCCTGTCAGCCTCATCATGGTAATGAGATGGTGTATGTTTTAGTGCCTGAAACACAGATGGCACTCAGTAGAGGTGTTTTCTACTTCATATCTCCCATTTAACCTTCTCTCATCCAAAATGTGAGCCTGGTATCATTTTGTCGTCATTTTTGTTGTTTGTTTTATTACAAAAGTGGATGAGACTTGGCTATGACTCTGTGTTCCCTTGTTTGCAACAGCTGCCCTCCCTCCATTGAGTCAGGCATCATTTAATAGTTGATTTGACCATACACGTACCAGCAGCAGTCAAGACATAATTCTTCCATCTTTTCTGTAGCTGCAGATGGCCATAGAACCATCTGTGCCTTGGAGAATGAGTCATTCTTGGAGACAATGTGGAAGCAAATGGCCATTTGTATCTAACACATGAATTTTTTACTGATGGAAAGTACTGAATCCTTCCCAATATATCTTTGTTCTTTATGGAAATTTGTGACGTTCTTTGTTCAGTGTTCTAAAAAGAAGGCTATGTCGATGATGTTTTTCAACATAATAATAACTTGCATTCATATAGCATAGTATGATATTTATACTAGAGTTAATTCCATTTATTCCAGATGGCATTTGCAGATTGTCAATTACACATCAGTCCCTGATGGTGTAAGAGAGAGCCTGATCTCAAGAGATTATATGATATTCTGAAGGAACTTAAAAAAAATTCAGAACAATTGGACTAAAAATAAGTTTATTTTGGTGCAAAAATATTTTCAAGTTGTGTGCAGTTTTTTCATAATAAGCATTTTCCATGAACTATTTGAAGATCACTTATACACAGCCACATAAACAATGAATCCAGTACAGCCCTGTTTGTTTCTGAAGGCAGATATACTGTGGTCTCCTTTTTAAAGCTGAGAAAACTGAGCTATAAAGTAAATAACTTATTCAAAATGATTCCTACTTTGTCTTCTATAATAATTTCAATATTGAATACTTATTAACACATACTATAGAAATTAGTTATTTTAATAAAGTAAAATGTTGAAACATATGAATGGTTTTCAAATAAGTGTATTTGTCTTATTTTTTATTTAGACAATAGCACAAATCATTAGTCAGTAGGGATATCAAAGCTTACAGGAATTTTTAGTAAATATATTAGACATTATTATCATAGTTTGTGAGATTTTTTAAAGATGTATTTATTTTTTTGAAAGGCAGAGTTACAGAGAGGCAGAGGTAGATAGAGGAGAGAGAGAGTGCGAGAGTGGGAGAGTACGCGGGCGCACGCGCGCAAGAGAGAGAGAGAGAGAGAGACAGAGATGGAAGTTGAGAGTTCTTCCATTTGCTGGTTCACACCATAAATGGCCACAGTGGCTAGAGCTGGGTCAGTCTGAAGCCAGGAGCCAGGAGCCAGGAGCCAGGATTCAGGAGCTTCTTCCAGGTCTCCCATGTGGGTGCAGGGGTCCCAGGGTTGGGCCATCTTCTACTACTTTCCCAGGCCAAAGCAGAGTCTTAGATCAGAAGTGGAGCAGCCTGGACATGGCCCAGTCCCCATATGGATCCTGGCACTGTAAGCACCATCTTTATACACTCTGCCACAGCACTGGCCCCCACAAGATTTTAAAAATCATTCTGTTGGGGTTTTTAAAAGTCTCAAAAATACTTTGATGCCAGGAGAGAAAAAGTGCTCATATTGCTAATGTGCTCAATAAATTCTTCCTTTGGCCTATC